AGCTTTTCAGTATCTGTACTTTTTAGAAACTGCTCATTTTGTAGCACTACACTATCCAATAAGATAGCCACATTACTCAGATTAAAAACAAAACTGAAAAATCCAATTACTCAGTCACACTAGCCACATTCCAAAGGCTCAGCAGCGACAGGGCTAGCACATTAGTCAATGCATTATGAAATACTTCCATCACAGGAAGTTCTACAGTGCAATAGTTGAGAGTGGTGGATGGATAATGTTGGGCTTTAACACGTTTTCTTATAACCTCAGAGAACAAAGACTTTCTCTCTCCCTCAACCCTAGCTTTTCTCACCTTTTAACCCTACCAAGACACCTCCCCATTAGTGCTTTCTATACTTTGGCCACAGATTTCAAGGGAGGCACAGGCTCACACTTTCACCAGATGCTCTCATTTTAAATAAAGCATAGCCACCATGCTTTTTCTTACTGTAAGCACTTGTTTTAAACCACTTAACATATGACATGAACATTCTTTACTAACTTATTAGGCAGTCACTCAAGAAACCCTCTCTGAAAGTTCTAATTGCTCCCTTCTACCTTATTCACCTTGGAAAGGGCACTTTTTGCCTCTTAGTGCAGGTGTTCCCCTTATTGCTAGCAAACTGAAAGTTATTGTCAAGAGTCCCAACTGCAGAGATTTAATTGGTCTGGAGTGCACACCTGGATGTCAACATTTTTAAAGCTCCCTTGGTAATTCTAATGTACAACTGAAGTTGAGACCCACCTGACAACTCATTTAACATACTGAATTATTTTTAATAACAACTTTAGGTTTATGAAAAGCTTAAGAGTCATTTTGCACAAGCAAATTTTTGTTAAATCTTCAGAACATTTTTATTTCCCTCAATTTCTCCTTTGTGTGACACATAAGAATTTTGGGCTTCTACTCCTATTAAGCAGCTACTTTTTTTTTTTTTTTTTTTGGCATTCACCCCATTACACTATCCCTTCTATTGTAGTTCTGACTTAAGGTCAGGGAAAAGTCCACCCCAGCTCAAACAGAGCTTTTAACTCCCAACTCTCTACACAGGCCCCATTTTTCGTAATAGGAGTATTTTTTTTTTACTTAATTTGAAAGTTACTAATGCAACCACACGTTCTTTTGAGGCCTTCCTGATTAGGATTAATTTGATTAACTGAAATTCAAACATGTAATTTTCCAACACCCCTAATTTATTCTCCTCTCTAAACATTTGGAATTTTGTCATCCCAGTCAGGTTTACATGTAAATCTAGCTTTTTCTGTACTATTTAGCTGGCCCAATTTTTACTTTATCCCAGGGTCTTTCTAAACACTAGAAATTCTCCAAGAGAGAGCCCCTTATTCATCAAATAACAAAATATAAATGGTACTTGTTCTCTATGAGATAAACAGCACTGATAAAGCAAACGAGTCACTATAGTTACTTACCAGCCCATTCTATACATATCGTATGTAGCTCGCTTACTGGTCACTCCCATTTCTGTGAGATCTGTGTTTACTATTTTTAACTGGCTTCAAGGTATCACTGTACTTTTTCCTTATCCATCTAAAACTCAACTGAAATGCATTTCCTTGGTCAGTGATCTAACTAGGGTATAGAAACTCAAACCCCATTTTGACAGTGGTACAGGTGAATTTTCCTCAAGTTAAATAAAAATATCAACTTCTTTGGCTAAATCCTTTATTCTCCAAGGCCACAATCAATGATGCTGTTTTTTCACTCTCCTAAAAATAAATACCTAGCTATTTCCCTATTTCCCTTATTTCCCAACTACTTCCACAACACATCCCACCGTATCATCCAAGTTACCTAAAACCACCGATGTTTGCTAAGTATAGTGTCTCGGCAGTTCCATTTCTTTACTTTGCATATCATACCTGCAAGGCTTTGCTTCCCCTAGCTACTTACACTTTTGAATCAACATACTGCTAAGTTATTCACTAGATTCCTTTACTGGTATTTTATAGTTACTGTATGGCTTTAATGATGCTTATTTTTGATCTACCCTTCCTTCCATTACATTCTCAATACTCATGTGACTCCTTTCCAATTTACCATAATTCTATTGTTCTTGTTTGCATTTTCCCATTCTCTTACACCTAGTTCTGTTAAGAGACTTTTTTTTTTTTTTAAAGATTTTATTTATTTATTTGACAGACAGATCACAAGTAGGCAGAGAAGCAGACAGATAGAGAGAGGTGGAAGCAGGCTCCCTGCAGAGCACAGAGCCCGATGTGGGGCTCGATCCCAGGACACTAGGACCATGACCTGAGCCGAAGGCAGAGGCTTTAACCCACTAAGCCACCCAGGTGCCCCTGTTAAGAGACTTTAAAACATGTACTGACTAGCACTACTAATCCTCACAGGTTTCAGATGTTGGGGTGACATCTGAAATCTATTGGGACCCCTCTTTTCAAGCGTTCCAAATTTGTCACCCATTCCAATCCAACAGCTTTAAGTTAGCTTTCACTAGTGAAACAGCAAAAGTAGAAAAGTACCTTTGCCAGTGAATGCCACAGAACTCTCCCCATTAAAAATTATGTAGCATCAGAAATGTTCCAAAGGTATTTAAGTCATCCACTTTCTTCATCCAATCCTGGCTGGACAGTGCACTCTTTAAAAGCTTCCAGGTTATTTTCTTATATTTCCTGGGCATACTGGATAAACCATTATTCTGAAATTTTTAATACCCAACAAAGTCATCACCGTATTTTACTGTGATACATCTTATTTCTACTAAATAGCTTAAGGCCTGCTCTTTTGAGATTCTCAAGTTACTCAGAAATTTCCTCTAAAAAATTAGCTATTTCTCAAACTGTCAAGCTTTTCAACCTCACCTGCTCTGCCAACCCACTGCTAAACCACAGAGCCCATGCCTTCTCTGCCTCTATTTCTATTGAACCTATTCCAATCTCTTTTCCTGGGGCCCAGAGTTAAATGATGTTAACAATGACTATAAGCCTTTATTAGACCAATGGTCTTTAAGACAATAGTCTCTTTAAAAAAAAAAAACAAAACTTATAAATCTGCATTTCATCAGCTTGCAAGATACAGAACTATATGCTATTTCAGTCACGTTTCCTTTTCTCTAAGCTTTGGCCTAGGATTCTGAATTTCAAAGTATTTTAAGAGTATAATCTATGATTACAGAAATCTTACAGTACCGTTCTTTTACTTCCACGAGGAAACTGAACTAATAGCCTGAGACATACAGTGTGAAATTACTCTTCCCCATCAAGACAAACTAGAAATGTCGGCATTTCATCAATAACCTTGCGTGTGTGTATACATTTTTGAACAGCACATGACCATATCCTTTAAGCTTTCCACAGTTTCTTTCAATACTTGGTTTCATATGAAATTAAAAGTATAGACCCTTTCATGCATGGCTTAACTGGTCCAGCATCTTTTAGTTGCTGATAACTAACATTATGATCTTAAAAAGGTTTATTAACATCTTGGAACCTTAACCCTTTCTTCTAAGCATCCAGTTTATTTTGGGGATTATGTGCTTAAAGTGAGTTTGTGTAACATGAAATCATGTAGTATCAGAAAACAAAGTGGGGGGTAGAAGTATCTTTAACCAAATTAACCCACAAAAGCTACTTCTGTACTATGGATGTGGGGTCCAAGGGGTTCAGAGTTTAGCCTCTTCCTTCTATTCTGCTTTGTCACGTGTTATATAAAATGATTTTTTGAGATCTTAATAAATAGGACAGGACTTCTGCCCACAGTAGGTTGGATATAAATGCCTTTGTTGCATGCTATGAAATAGCAACTTTCTGGGGAATCCAAGGTTTGTGTGAATGGTAAATAGTCCAAACTAGCCATGTTCTTATCCTGCTCTGCTGGAAACAAGTATAAAAACATAAACCAGACCTTTCAGGATTAGTTAGGCAAGCGTAACAAATCTAGAAGCTGTTTAATAAATCCATCCGTAGAAGTCTAGGTGCTAATTAGTATCATGACCAAAACAAAAAACAAATAAAGAAAACAAAACAAAAACCACTGAAATTAATCACACAGGAGAAAGGAACAAAAATTATTTATATGGATTAAACTAACTGCAAGTAAATGTTCTCAGTCACCTGGGAAGGTATAAACTAAGAGCACAGAAGAGCAAGCTTTTCTATTTTTAGGAACTTGGAGGCACAGACTCAGAATCCAAAAGTAACTGCGACTCTAAATAGCAAATAAAAGGATAAAATGAAAGTAACAGAGGTTCATTCTCCACTTGTTTCAAATTTTCCTAAAACCCTGACATGTTTGAACCTCTTCTATTTAAGGACAAAACGATTTAGCACACAATAAAAATCACAAAAAGGGTGCCAAATGGACCACAAAACATTAATGAAATATCTTAATATTGTTCCCAAACCTTTTCATTAGGATCGAAAAGCCATTCTGCACAAGAATCTCCACTCCACATCAAAGCAATACCCACCCCAATGACACATCATTTGAGTAGTGTATGTTCGTATGAGTGAAGACTATGACTCAAAGAAAAATATATTTAGTACACTCTAGCGTTTTTGTGGAGGCCGCTGTGAAACAAAGAATTTGAAGTAAACAATTATAAAATACAAAAATAAAAAACCAGGTTTTTTTTTTTTTTTTCTCCAAACTCCTGGTTTAATAAGGACTTGTTTATTTTGAGAAAAAAGGGTCCCAAACATCAGGCTGTTCACAAAAATAACCCACAGTATCAACTTTAGAAAACAAATCTTAAGACTATTACACTAATTATTTTTCTAGAGGATGCATTTGACATGCCAACTCTCATTCACAAAAATACATTGTTACATTTGTGTTGAACAGCCCCACAAAGCACTCTTATGTGGGGTATAACACACATACCTCTAACTCAAAGCTGCTCTCAGATGCTACTCAACTAATGCGATTGCCTTTGCAGTTAGGGAAGCAACTACTGAGCTCATGTATGAATGGAAAGAACTGTACTCCCTGCATACCAAGAGATTATTTTGGAGACAGTTGATAAAAACCACACATCCTTTTTATTGTTAAGTCATAAAGAGGTATCAAAATTAAAAGCAAAAATTACAGGGTAAGACTTAACATAACTACTAGGAGCATCAAAGGAAGTGAAAATGGGACTAGGCGCAGGGCAATATGAATTAATGAACATGGGAAGGACAAGGATGGGGAGAACAGTGAGCATGTGCTGAAGATACTAGGGGAGAGGATCTGGTGAAAATTTTGATCTTAGACAAGCGCCTAGGTAAAGAAATAATGGGACAAGATTTCTAAACCCCACTATGTGCTTAAGAGTCATCCTCGCCATTGGCGCTGTCTCTGTCATCCTCTCCTTCCTCAGCCTCTTTTTCATCATCCTTGATCAACTCCAGCTGTGAGAAACAGACACAAATAGGATGGAGTTAGAGGCACTCCATGTGTCCCTGCTCCCCCCTCCACCACCTCTTTCTTTCCTTTCCCGTGGTTTTCACCTGGTCATCCCCCCGATCTTCATTATCATCATCATCCAGTAGGTCCCCCTCCTCAGCAGAGTCATCTGCACCCCCCTCAGACTCCATCTTCACATTAGTCTCATCTTTCTTCAGGGAGCTGCTGCTCTGCTCCTCTTCTGACTTATCATTCTTCATCTCTACTGGGGATGAGAAGGACAAGTCTGTCTAGGGGCAAGTAATGTCCACAGGATGTAGACAATCCCCATTAATGATCACAGAACTGCAGCACAAATCTAAATCCTCCCACACAAATGCCCTTCCCAATTCAAATTCCCCAAGTTTCATATTCAATTGCTTTATACCCCACTATTCCAACATGTACCTTCAACTATCTTCAGTAACTAACCCAAGTCTACACCCAACAAGCTGCAAGGCCATTTACCTCCTTGTTTGCTCTGTTCTTTCTCAATTTTTTCCAGGCTTTCCAGTAGAGAATCCACTTTTTGTTTTATCTGGGTCAACTCCTTCTTAATGGTCTGAAGGTCATCACCTTTCACTTTAATACAAACAAAACTCTGTATTAGGATCAACTCTACCAGAAGTTACCAGATGCTGAACAAATTTCCAACTAAACCACAAGGCAATAGCCAGAGGGGATCCTAGGGGAGAAATGGAGCCAGGATCATACTGTCCCGGTCATGGGGATGACTTAGTTGGTAGCTAAAAACTGAATCTAATGTGCCTACTCCCTTAGCAACAGTATTCTTACTTCTGTAGGCCTACTGAAGATCTCAATTATATTTGAAAGCACTTTTTGTACTGTTTGACTTGACTTACACACTTCGTAAATTTTTAAGCGCTTACTAGCTCCCTAAAGTCAAATACTTTAACTGGCCCCTTAATCACTATCTTCTCTTCCATTATTTTGATCACACAAAGCCATTAGTATAAAACCTGAACATTACTAACTGCATTAATTTCCCTATTTCAACAACACAGAAGTAGCAGAATCACAAAACTGCAATAATACATACACTTTCCAGACTTGGAAGAAGATCCTCGCTGTCCACTCTTAGAATTGAAGCCACTTTTGCCTCTTCGTGAGGTGTTTCCTGATACACGCTGGCGTTTTGAAGGAACTACAGCCCGAGCAATAGGAGGAGGAGGAGGAACACGTGCTGGGTAACTATACATCCTATTGGATAAAAGGAAAACAGACGTCCTTCACAACTAAAATTAAGTCAGCAAGCTCCATCAGTGACCTTATAAAATAATAAATTAATGTTGTCTACCAATTTGTATCTTTTTGCTAATTTTATTCCAAGGTCCAGTAAAAGCCTTCCTTCTTTTGTTTTCAATACAGCCGCTACTTCAAGAAAATACTACATATACACATGCATATCCAATGATGGTTGGCCTTAAGGGATGAACATCAAAGTTCCTCTGTACTCTGGCAGTATTAGTAAGTATTACTTTGTACAATGAATAGACTACATGTATATTTTTAAATTTTACTCCATATACGCTACAATAATCATAAATAAATAAAACTTAGAAAACAATTCCAAATAAAGTACTCAGAAAAATGGATTGCAATTAATGGAATCTGCAAACAGTGGTTATTTATGGTGAGCTAAATTTGATGAGTATAGAAATAAATAAATAATGTACAGAGTATACAGAGTGAGTATGTATGTATTTGGGGAGTATAGAAATAAATTATTATATAGAAATAAATTATGGTGAGTACAGAAATAAATTATTACTATTAGTAGTCATACTGAATTGAACCATATAGAACGGATAGTTGGTACTAAGAGCCATTCACACGTGTTGGTAGTGTATAAAAGCCATAATCCATTCTAACAACATTTAGGCAGAGGATGCACTCATAGTTCCAATTCCAGCAGGATGAGGAATACTGTCTGTTTTGTTTGCTATTCATTAATGCCTAAATCCACTGCCTAGCACACATTCAGCTCACATTCACTGGTTGCTTAACTGCTGCTTCCTCTGGAGTCCAGGAGTATCCCAGTGACTGCTAAAGATATACCTCAAAGTGATGGCTTGGTATTGACTTTCTTATTCGTAAAGAGAAAATTCTAAGTGTTACAAAAAGTCTTCTTACATGGGTAACAGTTCTAGAAAACCTCTACATTTCTTTATTATTTTTACAAGAGATTGGCAGCACAAGAAGGTAAGATCTACCACTGGGGAAAAAAAAATCCTTCAACTTTGTTCTGTACCTTTTTAATAACTAATTTAATTCCAAGGCCCTTAATTCCAAGGTATTAGTCTACAAAAATTACCTAAAACCTGCTGCTCTGCCTAAAGTGATGTATTACAAAGCCTTAAAAATTTGTAATTCAACTATATAACTAGTCTCCAAGATATTTCATCAGTGACTAATCTCTGAATTTTTAAGTCTCCAATGCTTTAGGTAGTGATAATTAACCTTCTCAACCCAACTTAATCTAAAACATTTCCATCCTACTTTAATATAGCAGTAGCTTATTTTTTCCCAGAAGTAGCTATGACGGGAACATTTTCCTAAACTAAGAAGGAACACGTGGTACACTGCCAAACAAATGAGTGTACTAGTTTATAATTTTCACTTAAGCAGTGAAAATTATAATTCTTTCTTCCCAATACTTCTTTTCTGGGATCGAGCCCCGCATCCGGCTCTCGCTCAACAGGGACCCTGCTTCCCTTCCTCTCTCTCTGCCTGCCTGTGATCTCTGTCAAATAAATAAATAAGATCTTAAATTAAAAAAAAAAAAAAAAAGATTTTATTTGCCAAAGAGAGAGAGAGCACCAGCCAAGAGGGAGAAGCAGGAACCCTGATGAGCAAGGAGACTGATGTGGGACTCAATCCCAATGATCTGAATTGAAGGCAGATGCTTAACCAACTAAGCTACTCAGGTGTCCCGTAGCAGACAAAAAAAAATTTTTTTTAAGATTTTATTTATTTATTTGACAGACAGAGATCACAAGTTGGCAGAGAGGCAGGCAGAGAGAGAGGAGGAAGCAGGCTCCCCGCTGAGCAGAGAGACCGATGTGGGGCTCGATCCCAGGACCCTGAGATCATGACCTGAGCCGAAGGCAGAGGATTTAACCCACTGAGCCACCCAGGCGCCCCCCGTAGCAGACAAATTTTAAGTGAGTTGTTAATTTGTCAGTTTGGCATGGTTTATGGGAATTAACACAAACAAAAAAGATACTTAGAGTAATGTTTTATTATATCCACTACTTTCCACACATAAAGCTTATTTTCTTTTGGCCCATTAATTTCCCACAGTTTAATAATTCAAAAACTGTTAACTTAAAATATTAAATAATTCAGTAACCACTCTTCTTTGTGCTAGATGATGTTATTTAAAAGCAATTTCTGGAGGTAAATGAAGATGAGTTATCCAAACGTGGGCATGAAACATCTCATGACCTAATCCCGTTAGATTCAAACATACAAACTACCCCTTCCCAACCAATCCATTCACTGACACTGGCACTGGCCCCAGTCTCTAAACTAATGATCCTGCCATTTCACAATTTCCTGTACTTGTGGGCACTGGAACTTCCTTTTGAACCATACAATTTCATCTGATGCAGCTAAACTGGCACAATGAAAATGAGGCAAGAGATGCAGTTTGTGGGGCACCTGGGTGGCTCAGTGGGTTAAAGCCTCTGCTTTTGGCTCAGGTCATGATCCCAAGGTCTTGGGATCAAGACCCGCGTCAGGCTCTCTGCTTGGCAGGGAGCCTGCTTTCCTTCCTCTTTCTCTGCCTCTCTGCCTACTTGTGATCTCTGTCAAGTGAATAAATAAAATCTTTGGGAAAAGAAAAAAGAAAGAAATGCAGTTTGTTTTGAATCTATGTAATGGCTCCATGAATATAAATGGAAGTCAAATGCTCTAGTTTTCAGAAGAAAAAAAAATTTTCCGAGGACCAAGTGGTAGTGCTAAAGGGCATTCAGTGCCAGGAACTTAGCTGCTGCTCAAGCAAAAACGGGCTCTTGAAAAACACACAAAGATTTCCTCTAATGAAGTTTAAGTAAACCTTCCTTGTAAAATGTCAAAGTGCATGATTGGGAAAACATGAAAACCATGCCTACTATGACAACACTCAAGGTCAAAGGGATAGGAAATACTACAGCTTCAAGAATTAGCTACTTGCTTATCAAGGGAAGTAGCATGTGCTGACTCCCTAGTGATAAAGCTCAAGTCATTAAAAAGTCTTCATGGAAGTTTCATTAACAAAGGAACAAACACTAAATCCCGAGAATTATGACTGCACTCTAAATGAGAAATCTGGACATTAAGTGTTGGTATAAAATCTAGCCTGAATTTAAAAAGTCATTAAAATACCATTTTAAAGAAATTAAAAAACTGTGGAGGCACGTTAGCTAGCTAATTATCTGAACAGGTTAAGACAAAGAAACTGTCTTAATCTCGAAGCAAAAACTTAAGCACTGCAAGTTACTAAAAACAAGTTTACATAGATGCCTGGCTGGCAGTCAGCAGAGAACACAACTCTTGATCTTGAGGTTGTTAAGTTCGAGCCCTATGTTGGGTGTAGAAGTTACTTAAAAATAAAATCAAAGTTTACAAAGGCAAGTTTCTTAGATGATTAGACAGAACAGCGACCTTTGGGTCTCAAAAACCCTGATTCAGACTTAGACTTCATCCTACCAAAGTAGAAACAACTAGAATGTATAGTGAAAATCTGTATTCTCCTGAATATATTTACTATACCATACCTACTTCCTGTCTTAAAAATTTAGAAGGATTAGGGGCGCCTGGGTGGCTCAGTGGGTTAAGCCTCTGCCTTTGGCTCAAGTCATGATCTCAGGGTCCTGGGATCGAGCCCCGCATCAGGCTCTCTGCTTAGCAGGGAGCCTGCTTCCTCCTCTCTCTCTGCCTGCCTCTCTGTCTACTTGTGATCTCTGCCAAATAAATAAATAAAATCTTTAAAAAAATTTTTTAGAAGGATTAAAAATAATTTTAGGTATATTAATTACCAAATAGGAAACAGTAGTTCTGGAAACCCAACTGTCAGATATTCTAGGCCCATGAAAATCTTAAAAAAGAAAAAAAATGGCTCAGTAAGTTAAACATCTGACTTTCAGCACAGAACTCCATCTCAGGGTCATGACACCCTCTAGGCTCAACAGGGAGTCTGCTTTTCTCTCTCCCTCTGCTCCTCCCCCCACACTTGTGTACTCTTAAATAAAATCATAGAAGAATAAAAGCTACAACGTAGGGAAGAGCAATCTAATAAGAATTATTAGAATTCTTAATTATAAGAATTAGCAATCTAATAAGCAATCTAATAAAAATACTCCCTCCTCCCTGTATAATACGAATTTATCAAATTCAGTTTAAATATGCAATCCCATTATAACTCCATTCAAGTGTCAGAAAGTATTTTCTTCTGCTTCGTTTTTTTTTTTAATCTACAATGAAATTTCAAGATGATGTTTCTCCCTGCTTATGATTGATTTTCCTAGAAGGACTGATTTTACAGGCTACCACCACGTTGTTTGGCTTTAGAATGTGTGAAGATCTCTGAAACTGCTAAAATTACATGAATTTATCTATTCCCTATCAAGTTAAAAATCACTGATGCAGGAAAAAAGACCAATCTGAGTCATTTCTCAGAAACGAGATTAAAACAAAAACAAAAAAACCCAAAAAACCCACAATTGATTTTAAGTACATTCTAAGCCACACATGAGGCTTGAGTTCACCACCCTAAGAGTCACATACTCTACTGACTGAACCAGCCAGGCATCCTAAAATGTGCTTTAATTTAAAGAAGTACAGAGAAAAATATGTACAAATCCATGAGATTCAAAAAGAGTGATTTTAGGAAAGTGAGATTAACAGAATCTATCCATAGAGTGTATTCTGTGGGATACATCTAGAGAAAACCATGTTGATACAGTAACAAAAATTACGTACAGAGTTTAAGAGCCAATGAACAGCATCCTAGTTCCAATAATTACTAGTTAAATAAACTCCTAGTTGATGAGATACTCACCTCAAACTCAAGCCACCAGTGTACTGACAATTCATTTAAAGAGTTGGAACTAAAGCCCTGAGTGAAGGAAGCTCTTCTGCTACTATAACTGTTTTAAGTTTGGTTCTTGACAGTGTGCTCACTCTGTGACAATCTACAACTTCAACTACAGGTATCC